AAAAGCTGCCCCTAGGAATTAAAAGGAAACTATCTGTTGGTTTAAGAACATACAATATTAATCACAATAAAATTTAACTATTGAATAGAAATCTGCTTTTATGACTCAGGAGTGAGCATGAATATCAGCTATCTATGTGTAGTATTTAATTCATACCAGAGTGAAACCAGAAGGATGAATTGACTCAGGGACAGTCTCCTGAATCCTGCCTCTGGCATTATTCATTTGCAGCGGGCTGAATTGCATTTTATGGCGGCTGTTTTCTCTCATTTATCCCTTTGAGAGGAAGCAGTAACTAAATATATTAAACACTGCTTGGAGTCCTCAGCACTGAGCATTTTAATTCTATCAAGAGTGTATCAGCATATGATTGAAAAAGAATGGAAACTCAGGGCTTCAGTTTCTCAGTTCACCTAACCGTTAGTTCAGTAGATCAACCTGTGTGGTCTGGAGGGCCCTTTAATAATAATGTCCATAAAAGAAAACAAATTGTCCAAGTAAGTACTCAGAATCAGTGTGAAAAAGGGGTGCGTGGGTAGCTCAGTCACTTGAGCATGTGACTTTGGCTCAGGTCATGATCTTGCAGCTCTTGAGTTCGAGCCCCGCTTCAGGCTGTATGCTCACAGCTCAGAGCCTGGAGCCTGCTTTGGATTCTGTGTCTCCCTCTCTCTCTGCTCCTCCCCCACTCATGCTCTGTCTCTCTCTCAAAAACAGATAAACGTTATCTTTTCTGTGTAGAAAAGGCTGTTAAGCTGGAGTTTCAAATAATAGAACTTTCTTCCATTTCAACGGAGCTGTGCTAGGCCGTTCAGTCGTTCATCATTCATTCACACAGGGTTTCACAACTACTTCTTGAGTCCTACGTACTAGGCCCTGTTCTAGGTACTAGGCATACAGTGGGAAGTAAAGCGAAGGCCTTGTTTTTGTGGTTGTGGAGCTGATTTTCTCGAGGACAAGAGGCAAGAAAACTATATATGCAAATATGTCATTTGGTGCTCTAGAGGAAAATACAGACCACGTAAGGGGTATGGGAATGAGTGTAGGTTTGGTGTTGGGCACCGCTGTCGCTTTTTATAAGGGACGGTCAGGGAAAGCCTCTCAATGACATTTGTGCCGAGACCTGAAGGGATTGACGTCCACTGGAAAGAAGAGTAAGCCAGGAGGAGTGGGGAGCCTGCCTAGTGGGCTGAAAGACAGTAAGGGACCTCTGCAGTTGGAGGAAAGGCAGTGAGGGGGGCAATATTTGGAGGCGGGGTCAGAGGGACAGCAGAGACCCACATCACATAGAGTTCTGCAGACCGTTGTAAGGACATTGGCTTTTTCTCTGAATGAGAACTCACTGAAGGGTTCTCTTCAAGTCTTCCCTTGAGGATTACCTTGAACGCTGGTTGGAGAACGGACTATAGAGACAGGGACGGGAACAAAGAAATGAGTAAAGATAGCTGGTAAGTGTATTCAGGCAGGAACCAAAGGGCACAGGTGTTTGATTTTGTGCACTTACCACCATCTCTTTGCTTTACTGGTAAAGATTATTGTACTCGTCCAGACAAGGATGAACACAGTGTTGGCACATTTGAGCCACGTTAGTAATACTTTAATGATACGCAAATTAGCACTATGCCTTGGCTCTTGGGAAGTTCTGTCGTTAATGCTTTATTCTATTTATCCAATAGCAGTGTCCTTCTGAAAGGTCTTCCTCTCATCTCTCCTGTTTTTCTTTAATGTTGTACCATTCTTTGAGCCACTCACGCTCAAACTTGTCATCTGTGACGTCTCTCCATAGTCTCCAAACACAGGGGGTCAGATACTGTTGTTACCTGCCTGTCTTTCAAACCCATATCCTGTTTCTGCTTGAATTCAACTTGAGTTTAGACCCTCCTTTTCATCTCACAGCTGGCCATCAGATTCCCCTTGTCCACTCCGTGGAAAGGGTAGCAAAAACAATGCAGGGTTTGAAGCCGCGTCTTGATTCAGATTGGGCCATCTTGGTTCTTCCACGTACCTCTTGGGCATTTTGCAATTTTTGAACCTCAGTTGTCCCTCTACAGAATGAGCATAACAGTGTCTAATTGGTAGGATCGCAGTGAGGATTACGGGGGACTGTGGACTGTTGAGAGTGCCCGGCAGGTCCGAGGAGTGGATTCTTTCTGCTTCCATCCTTCCAGCTGGCTCCATCCTTCAGCTGCCTGGCAGGGCCCAAAGCGTAGGTCTCATGGTCTTTCCTCTTGCCAGAAACCTTTCGTGGTTTCCTTTTGCCTCACAGGTTAAATATGGGCCCTTTTGCCTGGCATTCAGAGCCCCAGTTCTCTCCCCATGACTTCCGTTTCCAACTTAGCCCCCATTACGGTTCTTCTCCGTGTATTTCATGTAGAGCAAATTCACCATTTTTATTATCATGCTGTCACTTCTGTATGAAAACATCTTCACTCTGTTACCCTGTCTTGGGTCCTGTTGTCTTCACAGAGCTCACAATTGGAAATGGCTTGTCTCAGTCCTAAAACATCACTGCACTTGGAGGAGTCCGTGTGGTACCCCAGCTCTGGAGCCAGAAAAGCCAGATGCTTCTGTGTACTGTCATCCTGGGGATGTTGCCTAATTTCTGCATCTCGATTACCCTTGCAAAATGAGGACAATAATACCTCCTTGCTAGGGTTGTGGTGAGGACTAAGCAAGGGACTACATGTGAAGCAGTTTGAATAGTGTCTGACACTCGGGAAGCTTAAATCAGTTTCTACACAATTACAGGCATGAATAGCCAACATTATTGTATCATTAGGACCTGTATTTTATAGGGAACTCAAAATAAAAGCATTTTGAGATACAGTGGAGAAAGAGGCATGGACTAGGAACCAGAAGACCTGGTTCTAGTACTGGTTCCCATTACGAAATAAGCTGTGTGATGGCTAGTATGTCACTTAGCCTCTCTGGACCTTACATTCTTCAGCCGCGGAAAGAGAAGGATGAACAAAAATCTCTAAGCTTCCTTTCAGTTCAGATAGCCACACGGATATCTGATAGCCACCTGCAATTCAAATCGACCCAAACGGAACTCTTAATTTCCACTTTTTGAAGCACACTCCCTCCTTATCTCCGTAAATGAATGATATTACCATCTATCGGTGTAAGAAACCTGTGGGTTGCCTTTGAATTGTCTGTTCCTTTCATCACCTATATCTAATCTATCTGCCTATCCTTTTGGTTCTACTTCCAAAATGGATCTTGGTTCCATCCCTCCTCTGCCTTTCTGCTTCCACTCTTGCCCTCTTTCAGCCTCGTTCCCACCGAGCCAAAGCGATATTTAAAACCTCAACCAGATAATATCACTCTTCTGCTTTAAAGTCCCCGGTGGCTTTTCACTGTACTTAGGATGAGATCCAAACTCTTGTATGTCCTCCCACCACTCTCCCTCTTGTGCTCCAGCTGCCGTTTTCTCTTTTCCTGCCAGCTCCCCAAACTCACGTCTGCCTTGGGCTTTGCTGCTTCCTGCGCTTAGAATATTCATCCCCCAGATGTGGACGCAACTTGTTTCTTGGATTTAGATCTCCGCTCTAATTGCCCCCCTGCCCGCTAGTGCCTTATCACACCATCCTGTGTTTGCCTGAGGTTTACCACTATCTGAAAATAGCTTATTTATCTCTCTCTGTCTTCGGGAGAAATGAAACGCCTTTGGGGCGCCTGGGTGGCGCAGTCGGTTAAGCGTCCGACTTCAGCCAGGTCACGATCTCGCGGTCCGTGAGTTCGAGCCCCGCGTCAGGCTCTGGGCTGATGGCTCGGAGCCTGGAGCCTGTTTCCGATTCTGTGTCTCCCTCTCTCTCTGCCCCTTCCCCGTTCATGCTCTGTCTCTGTCCCATAAATAAATAAAAACGTTGAAAAAAAATTAAAAAAAAAAAAAAGAAATGAAACGCCTTCATAGTAGGGCCTTTTTCCTAGCAGTGCATCGTACATAGTAAGAATGCAAAATAAAAATACATGAAGGAATAAGTATAAGCCCATTTTTAAGGAGCTGTCACAGTTCATATTAAGCGGAGGATTGTGTTTGTAGTTTTCCAGTGTGAAAACTTTCCCTTCGTTTAATCTCCCCTACTGAATGAAGATGCCTGGGCACACATGCTTGTGCTAGAAATAGGACCGTGAAACAGTATAACGACACATTGGTTTCTTCCCCTGACCTAAATGGCTCTCAAATTTACCATTCTCTCCATCTCCTCTCCCATACTAACACCTTACTGCAAATACCATCTTCTGTGGCCTAGAGGACTGCCTCCCCTCCGGTCTTTTTCCTGTAGGTTCTAATCTCCCAACCATCCGGACTGCAGACAGCAGCCGGCGAGCTTTGCAGTCGTTGCCGTACCCTTGCTTGAAATTTGAAAGCCGAAGTTTCCCATTGTTCTCGGGATAAAGGCCAGAATCCGCCCTGGTCCGCTACGTCCTGTAAGCCGGCCCTCAGTCTCCACCGCAGCCCACGCTCCCTCCCTCCCCTCCTGGTTCCCGCCTGCCACCAAGCTGGTACCGCTTCCTGGACGGGGTTCACTACCCAGCACCCATGTTGTCTCCTTCGGAACTCAGGATATTGTCCCTTCCTCGGGGAAGCCCTCCCTGGTGAGGCCAAGCTCCACTCCCCCTCATGCAGCCCCCTATCATCCACGACGTCTCTTTCAGTGCTCCGGTTTTATAAGCGCACACTCTGGAATACGGTAGCCTTGTAAACACGAGTAGCCGCGAGCTCGCAGCTCAATAGCTAATTGCGGAAGAAACGTACTGAGTAGTCGCCCGGCCGGTCCTCGCCCCTCCCCCTAGGGCTGCGCTGAGGCTGTTACGCATTAAGCAGGCGCCGCGGGGAGAGGAATCTCACCGCGCCTGCGCGAAAGGGCACGCATGCGCAAAAGAACGAGCCCGCTGACAGATTGGCGGCGGCAGCGGCGGCGGCGGCCCTGGCCCTGGACTGCGGGGAATGGGAGTCCTAGGTCTCTGAGCGCCGCCCCCGCCTCCCTGCCCCCGACATGGCTCAGGAGAAGATGGAGCTAGACCTGGAGCTGCCTCCGGGTACTGGCGGGAGCCCGGCGGAGGGCGGCGGCGCTAGCGCCGGCGGGGGCCTCAGGAGGTCTAACAGCGCCCCCCTGATCCACGGCCTCAGTGACACTTCGCCGGTGTTCCAGGCCGAGGCGCCGAGCGCCAGGCGGAACAGCACAACGTTCCCGAACCGCCACGGCCTGCTGCTGCCGGCCTCCCCCGTCCGCATGCACAGCAGCCGCTTGCACCAGATCAAACAGGAGGAAGGCATGGACTTGATCAACCGAGAGACGGTCCACGAGCGCGAGGTGCAGAACGCAATGCAGATAAGCCACTCCTGGGAGGAAAGTTTCAGCCTGAGTGACAACGATGTGGAGAAGTCCGCCTCCCCGAAGCGCATCGATTTCATTCCGGTGTCACCAGCACCCTCACCCACCCGGGGGATTGGGAAGCAGTGTTTCTCACCATCCTTGCAAAGTTTTGTGAGTAGCAATGGATTGCCTCCAAGTCCTATTCCCAGCCCAACGACTCGATTTACCACCCGGAGAAGCCAGAGTCCCATCAACTGCATCAGACCAAGCGTTCTTGGACCATTGAAAAGAAAATGTGAAATGGAAACTGAGTATCAGCCAAAGAGATTTTTCCAGGGCATCACCAACATGCTTTCTTCTGACGTTGCACAGCTGTCAGATCCCGGTGTGTGTGTATCTTCTGATACCCTTGATGGAAACAGTAGCAGTGCCGGATCTTCTTGTAACTCACCAGCGAAAGTCAGCACTACCACCGACTCTCCTGTGTCGCCTGCCCAAGCGGCCTCTCCATTTATTCCAGTAGATGAACTTTCATCTAAGTGATTCACCCACCCATCTGAGACTCGGGGTGTTTTTTTTTGCAATGGAGAGAAAAATCAAGTTGGAGCAAGCACTGAACTTTGTGAATTAATTTGAGGCTCTTTCCTATCTGACCCTTTTCCTTTTTTTGGAATTTCCTGAAATGTTGTTATTCTAGAGAACTTTTATGTCAGGTTCCTGCGGGATGCCCTTGAATTCAGTGTAGTAATATTTTCAGACGTTTTCCCAATAAGTGTGTTGAAGCATACGTCTTTACGCTGCTAATATGTTTAAATACATATGTTATCCCTTGATTTTTTAAAATAATTGAGAGCTCTATTTATTTATGGGATTATTAAGTTCTGATGCAAATATAAATGTTGAATTAATCAGCATAGTAAACTGATGTTTTAGAATTCCATATTTCATGCCCACACTAATTTTTAATATTACTTTTCAGTGATTGCTGATTTCTATTTGAAGAATAACTTACGTATTTACAGCAGTTTTTTAAAAAGAATGTCAGTTATAACACATCAACCCAGTGGTGTCTCTTTTACCCAGGAGTCCTTGGATATTTAATTTTCTGGGTACATAAGTGGCTGGGAGGGGGAATGATGAGCAAAATATAAAAGCTTGCAACAAGTCTTTTAAAATTATATAATAGTAAACATTTAAGAAAAGCATTTTCTAATGAAATTTTAATGGAAATTCTAATTAGTCATGCAAATATCGCTACGGAAAAGTTAAAAAAAAATTTTTTTTTTTTTTTTTTTTTTTTTTTTTTTTAGACCAGAAAGTGCATTCTCTCGGGTATAATCCTGAAGTGACACGGGCCAGTGCCTTGCAGTCTCAGCCCACTGTACATAGGCTGAGACCAGGTTCTTTTACCACTGCAAACTTAAAAGTTTTTCAAACATAGAAAATGTGGGAAGCTCTGTTGGACTTCACCGGGGCCCCCAGGCAGATAAAAGTCTCTCGTTGATTGACACGCTTTAAAATATCCAATTGTGCCTCAGTGAAAATCCTTGCCACCAAGGAGCCAGAGCAACTTTTGGCCACCTTTCTGTCCTGCCCATCTGTCACCTTCCGGGTTTTCCCTGGCTCAGGAGGGAAGCAGCTGTTTCCTTGCCAACAGGTCCTTCCCCCCCCACCTCCCAACGAACTAGGGCATCATCGGTTAGACAGAGGTACAGTGTAACTTGGATTTCTGACAGTGAGCAACCACAGAAGTGTGGAGTCATGTCAGGAACCTCTAGTTAAAGCTGTAGCTGGAGTCGACTGCCTTGGGATTGCCGATTGATTCAGGGTCAGTGACGTGCAAGAGAAAAATCAGTGGAGGGTCACGTAGGTAAATCATTGCTTAACTTAGGTTTCGTTTAGGTAAAGTTCTGAAATGTTCTTTTCCTTGCCTTGTTACAACTAAGACAAAATACGGAAATATTTAATAACAAACGTTTCTATATTATACTTCCTATATCTTCCTTTACTGGATAGATAGAAAGAATGGCAGCAAAAGGGGAAGGGGAAAAAATAAAAGAGAGACCAATACAAAAAGCTCCGACTTTCTTTAAGTTCACTGCTTACAGAGACTTGTAACGATTGTGTGGAATTTTTACAGCTATGGGAATAAACGGAACTGGTCAACTTTTGAAAGTTGCCTTAAGAATTCAGTGAAATTATGTCAAGGGTAAGATTGTTTATATAGGCTTAAAATCCTCTGTTCTGGGTAATGGTTCACATGCTTCAGTCTTGACCTTGTTCCTCAAATTCAAACCTATATATCCAGCTTCCTGTTGGGTACCTTAACCTGCTTCCAGAGGTACTTTAACCTCAGCATCTCCAAAACAAAATGTATCATCTTCTCATTGAACCTGTTCTCGAATTACCTAAATTGACGTCCTCACTCTCTGATTTTCTAAACTAGAAACCATGAGAAGCATTTTTGACTTTCTCTTTTTCCTGTCACATCCAGCTTACTCACTTAAGTTCTGTTTACTGAAATGAATCTCCAGCCTCTCCTCTTCTCTGTTTCTTTTGCCTCTGAGCTTATGTTCCAGCCTAAGGTGGTCTCACCCATTTTCTCACCCTCCTTTTGACCCGGTCTCCACACGGCCTCTGAAGTGATCTTTGTCAAGTAGAAAACTTGCTTTGTTTTCACCTTCCTGCTTGAAAACTTCCTTTGCTTCCCCATTTCCCACAGTTTAGGGAATGCTTTCTCTAGCCCGGCATGTAATAAGGTCCTTCATGAACTGGCCATCCTGGAAAACCACTGTACAACTCTGCTTATCCTATCCCAATACACATCCTTCCTTGTCACTCTGCAAACACTAGACTACTTGATGGTCCTTGAATATGCCATGTACTTTCATGTGTTTGTGCCTTTGGATGGGTTGTTCCTTCTCTTTAAAATGCCATTCCTATCCTTTTCAGCCAGGCAAATGCTTTGGTTCTTTTTATTGCCTGTTAATTTTAACTATGAAAGAATGTATACCTGCTGATTATAAAAATATTTAAACAATGCAGTTATCTGTGGAGTAAAAAAATGAAAGTCTGCCGTTTATTATGTAAAATTCGTCTTCCCTTCCCCTAGGTAATTTCTGTTAATTCAGTATATATAGTACAAGGTGTTTTCCTCCTCATTTCCACGTATATATGTATATAAATTCAGGAAACCAACATGTCATTGACCTCTCTTTTCCTTTCTTTCCTCCCGTCTTCACCAAGTCTTAACTGATTTTCTCTTCCAGAATCTGTCTGGACTGCCACCCTGACCTGGGCTTCCATCATTTTCCTCTTAGACTTCCCAAGTAGCCTCCTAATTCCCGCTTGTCCCTACACCACTCACTCTGGTTGGCTATCCATTCGTTCTCCATACAGCAAGCAACTACAGTAATCCTTTTAAAATTGCACATGTGATCCTTCCATCCCCTAGCTTAAAGCTTTTCATTTGCTTCCTGGTGTACCAAATTGTATTGATTCTGGCCTAGGAGGCCCTAAGGGATCTGACCCTTGGTGCTCTGTCCCCTTGTTTTCTGTACCCCATTCTCACTGGCCTGCTTTCTTGTTAAAGACAGCATCTTCTCTGCTATTTTATGGTCCTTTTGCCAGATCGTTTTTTCTGAAAGTATAGGGAAACCTTTATTTCTCTAAGCTTATTTTTCTATATGGTTGGTAAATTTTAAATCAGATGTAGCTCTAAGAGTTTATAGAGACCATTTACATGATCACATTCTTGTTCGTAACGTTAGTCATTACTTTGTAAAATGTGAGGACTTAGCTCATGTAAGAATTATCCTTCAAAGAAACATTTTTAAGGTATTAGTATTGCTGTGCTATAAACTTTGTGCTCGAAGTCCCAAAGCACCTATCCACATTTAGTTAAAGTTCAGTTTTATGTAAGAAACGTCTGTGGTATGGTTCCCTTTATTATATTTGTGAAAAACAATGAAAATGGAAAAAATAATGAACGGTCACCAAATACACAGATGTTGGGTGTCCCAACCTATAAACGTACTTGAAAGATTGCTTATAATCAAGAATAATCTGTATCACGTTGCGTTCCACTGATTCACATTTATTACATTAGGTCAACAGGTCACACTCCTACAGCAAGAGACCACTCTTAGATATTTGGCAGTAAGGTGGGAGAAAGTGTCAAGGCTTATAAGGGAAACAGAATTAGGGATTTTTTTTTTTTTTTTTTTTTTTTTTTTTTTTTTTTTTTTTT